GACTCAGTGCTGGCCAAGGTAATGTGGTGATGTTCTGTTGTTGGAGGTAACCTGTAACGATCCTGGCCCTGTGACATCTTGCGTTGTCATCCTGGAAGATGAAACGGCGGCCATGACGTCGTGCGAACGGCACAACATGGACTGCCAAGATGTTGTCCCGGTAGTACTGGCCTGTAACACGCCCTGCAACAACATGTAAAGCCGTTCTTCCAGCAACAGTGATGCCTCCCCACACCATAACAGAACCACCCCCAAATCGATCATGTCTGATGACGTTAACGTCTTGGAAGCGCTCGTTTCGACGACGCCACACCCTCCTACGTCTGTCCAAAAAATCAACAGTGAACCTTGACTCATCTGAAAACATCACATTGCTCCAGCGTCGATTATCCTAGTGTTGACGATCCCTACACCAACGACGTCTTGCCTGAATGTGATGATCTCTCAAACAAGGGATCACGCGAGGACGTCGGGCGCGAAGGTGACCCCTATGCAGTCGATTCCGAATCGTCTGGCCACTCACTCTCACATCAGTGTCTGTTTGAAGACGAGCGCTGATCTGATTTGCTGTGATGACACGATTTCTCAAGGCCAAGGTACGGATAAATCGATCCTGGGCTTGAGTTGTCGCCCTTGGTCGACCTGAGCGTGGTCTGTCCTGTACAGATTGTGTATCACGGTATCTGGACCATAGCCTGCTTATGACAGACTGAGAAACATTCATCGTCCGCGCCACAACCGCCTGTGTTGTGCCTATCTGTAGCATGCCAAGGGCACGTAACCTTTCATTTTGGGTAAGCCGACGCATATCACAATTTGTTTTCTGGTCACTAAAACAATTAAACTGATGTTTCCACCCTGGAATTCAATGCCACAATGACTGTAACATTCAAAGTCAGAGTCGTGCAAATCTTGGGTTGGACCCCCATGATGATCCCAAGCATCACCTGCATTCCATGCGGTAGCTATTGGTGGAAATGTTTCTTCTGTTAGGTTCTATAGAGACTTTTTTCGTAGTCATTTGCATATTTTAGTATTATGCCCCCAAAATCAAATATCCCCTACTTTTTTTGAATAGTATATTTAACAATACATAATAGCTGACATTTATAGATAGCTGGTAACAGCCGAGTTATGCACGAGATTTCAATGTGTTTATTAATAGAGCAGTGGGTGATGTCTTGGGTGGTTATAGTACACACGCAGAAAATAAACAATGACCAAAAACAGTAAAGTAATGCTGATTGTTGAGTATATCAATATATAAAATACGGATTATAAAAAGGAAGAAAACGAACACCGACTTGAGAAACAACTGATTGAATCAGATTGCGATGAAAGAAATATTGAGATAGATCCGATACAGAAAAAAATGTATCTAATGAGGTACTTTTTAGATTTTCTTAAGATACAAATGCACTGTCAAAAATGAGTGCAATTAAAAACTATAAACAGTGTTAATAAGTGTAAAGTTTACACCACAGCTAGTAACACTTTCCCAGGGGCAACCAACTAAAAGAGCTACACCCAACAAGTGTAACCGATGACCACTGAACACCTGGACAGGTGTAATTGTGGGGTGTTTTTGATGAGCTACACCACTACCAGTATTATACTGCAGTTACACCAAAGGGTGTAACTATTATTGGGGAATAATTCCCACAACCGTGTTAATTTTAAACCGTTTATTGGGTTACAAATGTGTAATTGATATTGTTTTTAAAATGAAATCATATATAGTTGCAGTTGGTTTCGGACCTTAATTTCAGCATTTCGACACATTGGGGATTCAAGAATACTTTCAAACTATAAAACTTTCCATATAATATTAGGATTGCTTTAAACAATTGACGTGTTTGCGCCCAGTAGCTGTCGGTCTTCTAGTCTTTCAGTATAGCGCTCTCAAGTTTTAACTTTATCAATATCTCTTTTATTTTACATTGGCTCAATTCATTAGTTTTTGTTTTCACTGATAATAATAGTTTTTTTTATTAGCTAATATTTCTTTATTTCGAGGGTATTTACCAAATCGATTGTAATTGGCCGAGAAATTTTGATGTGAACCTTTGTTATAACATCAATTGCCTTTAAATATTCCGACAACTATTTTTGTAAATCTATAGGTATAATTGTATGTAGATACTAAGTTCTGTTAACTATCAAGTGGTTAACCCCATGGCAATATGATTTCTATATACAACTCAACATAAGCAATCTATTCAATACAATAAACAGACTCCACAATACCGCATACACTGTATTATTTAAAACCCTCGAGATTCGTCCTGCTTATATTGTGAGTAGAGAAGACTTGTAATAAAAAGTTAAAATACTCTATTAGATAAAGTTATATCATTTACATAATGCCGTGTTGGGACTATTGACTTTTTTATATACCCAATTAAATGTGCTTGTATTAAAACCATTTTGGTCCAAAACTATTCAAATAGGTCAAATATAATATATGACCGATTACAGTTTACATTGGTTTCATTGATTGTGTCTTACGTAAAAAAAGTAATAACAATTCCATCATATTCGTACAAGCTACAGTTTTTATTTATACTCCGATATGCGTAATTACAATAATATTTACATCAGAAAACAATACATTTTCCATTTTTGGGATATATATGTTTAAGTGTATTAGATATAAAATATTAATAATTTTCGTATAACCCAGCCCAATTTTATATCTGTATGCGCCTAATTAATTATAGTCTTTAAATTGACAATTTGAGATATTTGTGAATGATCTGTGTCTTCAATCGTCTAACCTATTTAACATCTTTGATAAAATCTAAAAAACCTTATAATGTCTTCTTCTGAAATAAGAAATGTATTATATTCGTTCCTGGGACGTAGCGATGTCCCTAGAAACAGTTTTCATTTTTCTATATTCCGCCAACAAAGAGATAACTACGGTACCTAACAAAATCAAGTTTTAAAACATTTTTAGAAGTCTCCAAGACTGAAAACAGTGGATCAACTTGGCATTTCTAGTTCGGCTATGCCATATTAAACAATCTGGCATTTTGAAGACGTTACAAATACAATTAATAAAAATGGTGATTGCAATGGGCTCCGAGAAGTTTTCTAAAATTGATTGTCATTATTTATCTTTTTCTTTAGAATACAGAAACAATTGATCCTTTAACAATTGCGTCTCTAATTGTAGGCACGCTCATTCTACACCGACGTTTACAAGAATGGGGTTTATAGTCCAGCAGACTACGTCAATTGAGTGTATATAACACGCGGGGTATACTAATGTTATTAAAATGTGTTCAAAATTTGAATAACTGGTTTATACTGAACTGCAGCTCGTTGGGTGACGTATCTATTGTTTAGGTGATCCGCCCACACTACTTCCGGTGTTCATTTTATTGGCCTAAATATTAAACTTTCAAAACAATGGTTTTTTTTCTGTAATGTAAATTCTTTATAGAAAAATAACAACGAAAAACACATATACATTTTAAGAATCGGCACCACCCAGTGTCTGTAAACATGTTGACTCCTGTAGGCAATTGACGTCTCAACAATATACGTACATGAAGAATATTAATCACAGACCATTGATTCCTATAATATTATAACCGTACTATTTAGTATGCTTGGTGAAACATTGCCATAGCCAAACTGATTAAGCTTTTGACACCAATCATTCGGTGCAACCGTTATAAGAACAATGGCTTGAACTTTGACCTCTACTCACAGAATCAATCGGGTAACCTTTAACCTGGATGGGTAGAAATTAAACGGCATGATATTCGATTACTAAGCACCATGTACGTATGTAGCCATTAGTGCCAAACAATCTGAGAATTGTTGGGAACGGTTGAGAATGTAGACGATCATTCTTCTGTAACCCAGTTAACAAATTGGGCTAAACCCTAATACGCGATTTTTTCTTATATTAGATCATCTCTTAATGCCAATTAGGCTGTGTGTAATTGGGAGTTGTCATGTCTACATCTGCATTGGACATTTGTAAAAAAAAGCAAAGACCAAATAAAAGAACAGATACTTCAAAATTATAAAAAAAAGATAAATAAATAAAAAAATCCGCTTTTCCCATCCATTTTTTTTCTGATTTTGGCGATTGCTTTTATAATCCGGTATATACCAAATTTATACAAGGAATGAAAATTATATTGTTTTATATCTCCATTGTACATCAAAGCTATTAAAAACTAATTCAATTTGTTTCTATACCCGCAATGATCTTTAAATACATGTATATAAGGGTAGAGAAGTAAGAAACCTTTATATCCTGTTGTTCCAATACCTTACCTTATTCAGTAATTAGGAGATTATTTCAACTATGATATATCTAAAAATTAATTACATTTATTTTTTCGGTAGGAGTGATATTGCCTCTTTAATTCATGCAAGATCGAATGTAATTATAATTGACTTCATTCAACTAAAAATTTGTAATCTTAAACCATCACATATATAATTTAAAATAACATCAAACTCGTCTAAATATCCAAATTGCTTCTCTTCACCAATAAATCACAACACTGACCTACTTAGATGGGAAAATTACCCAAACATTATTTTAGTTCCGTAAATGGGAACTTAAAACGTTTATGTCCCAGCTGATTCACAGATTTAGCAGAAAGTTTGAACATAATTTCAATAGCCAAAACAAACTAAACAATCATTATAACCAGTCAGAGAACATCGCTCCGGGCTAGTATATCTTTAAATATAAACTGTACATTTCATACGAGTCATCTTTTCTACCAGAAAGGTAAAATTAAGAGTATCCCTTTGAATATATAGACATTAAATGATCCAGAAAATAAATATCAAGAATACCCTTTGTATTGGGTACACTTTATCATGTCTTCTCTCATCTAAAACTTGTAAATGATGAATGAAAACTGATGTGTGGAGAATAGACATTTATGTCAAAAGCATTTCATGGTCTTTAAACCCAGTTAAGAAACACATTTCGGACAAATTTCTTTTTAAAAAAACAGGCTTACCTCTGTTTCTGTGGCCGAGTCGTCTGTCTGCATACTGGACTGCCTCCATTAAATCATGTTTGCAATGTGATTCTCTTCTGTGAGTTAATCAATAGACAACTAGCACGGCTTTCATCTCTACATTTCCCCCATGCAACGTGTTCCAGCATTCGTCGACTTATAATGGTGACACTTGCCCGATTCTCTCCTCTGCCATTCACCAAGAATTATCCTCTATTATAGCGTGCAATTATATCAATACCGCCGTGCTATTCAACTTGTCAATGTATGTACACAATGCATGTTTACCTTTAAGTCATCTTGATGGAAAAGGGAAAAGACGCATCACCGGCAAGATATTTAAAGGCATAACATGGCAGCAAGGCCGATATGATTTCAACTTTCCTTATTTTTCTTTTCATAAGTTTTAAGTGGACATTTTACTCTCATAAGATGGGATATTGGGTAGCTAAAATGACTCAGTAAAACGAAACCAAATATGCGTTTGCTTTCTCAAAATGTACTTACAAAACTACTTTAAAAGTGTCAAACACGATATAGCAATGAAAGACTGAATGATGAACAACAAACCAAGCATCCAAAACAATGAATAGCCTTCAATTGTAACATCTAAAATTTCCCTTGGCAACAAACGTCAGAAAACCATTTTCTCTCTGACTGGAGAAGTGGGTGGCGAATTGACCAACGGCTGTGTTTTACATTGGAATACATGATTGAATTCTCTCCGTTATTCTACTTGAAAGCATGTCTTCCTAGAAATATGCTCTTCAAGAGTTAATCAAGTTTAAGTTCATATCCGAGGAAGGTCGCTTTAATATCCATTTCGCTATTGTGCATTGAAAAATTCATAACTTCAATAAAGGATTATGTAGGTAATAGTTTTGTATTAATCTTGATATTAAAGTTAAATTTTCGTACATAATGCATTGTTTTACTTTGCGAGTCAATTTGATGTTTTCTTGATTTTGGACTGTGTTATATTCATGTGCTGTGTGTCGTGATTTATTAGTAGTTGCCTATATGCTTACACTTTATAGAAATCGTGAGACCATGGTATCTTAGGAGTTTTACCAGGAAAAAAAATGTTAACATCTCACAGACATCTTTTAGCGTGCATTCTTATGATTATTTTCTCGGTTGTAGGTCCCATCCTTTCTCGTGATTTGCAATCGATGAGTAATAATAACGTGCGCTGTTAAACCAATCTCTCTAACCTCATCTGTATAACTTTTACTGATTCATTTCGATGAATTTGGAGAGCAGAAAGTTATACCTGCTGCGTTGGACATATACTCTAGTATTTCGAGTTAAAACAACAAACACAAATGTAAGTTATGGATTGAGAAATTTAGCATACGTGTTCAAGTGAAACAAAATGGATCATATTTATAATGTTAGATAATGCACATAAATATCGATTGATTACCATAGGCTTGAAGAATGTTACATTTTGATTCACACAAGTCTTATAAGTTTGAAAGTCAATTGCCCACTTTTTATACATCTCAAACAGGGAGAATAATTCGTCGTATTGCATCCCACAGCTTTGTTCAGTTTGGCCTCTTTAGAATAGTATCCCGCCCCCACGCCCCAATTAAATAAAAGAAAATACAACAAATACAAAACAACAGCTATACGTGTTTTGGCAGTTGTTCAAAGAGAGAGAGAGTGGAGGTTTAATGCCCACTCGACACAAACTAGGTCATTTAGGGACTAACGTATGGTTCAATTTCATTTCACTAATTCGCTTTCGCGATGCAGAATTGTGTTCAAATAAGAAGTATGCCAATTTTCATGTCGATCGGACATGAATTGACAGAGCCTGGGCTTTTTCGAAGAGCGTCACGCCAAGAAGAAGAAGAACAAGATGACTAGTTCCTGGTCCAAAAATCCAACGATAAAGATAACTTCATTTTTGACCCATATCAAAGAGATTTATTCATAGAACTGGCCCATATCGTTTCACGAGCCATAGAATTAAATAAAAACTGCCTAATCACAGATTGACAGGTTGTGTTAGTGGTTTTATTCCAGTTCTACAGTAATATACGAATCGGTTTTAATCATGTGTAGTTTTTGAGATTATTATCTATAAATTCAGTACTAAATGTTAATTCCTTTGGCTTTGATTTATACAGTAATTGCAGTCGATTAGTCTCGCTGTCTTCAAGAGATTGAGAAGATAGTAACTGATTATATATATTTTCTTGATGTTAGTATCTAGAAGTAATTATTCCGAATTAACAACCAATATCAACTTTTACAATTTCTGTATACATGTACCATGTTCCTGAAGCAAGGACTGCGAGTTTTACAACATCTAGTCGTTGCTAGCGTAGTTCGATATTCTCAAACTTTTAGGTAAGTTATCTCCCTTTACCACAGATATATGATACAAACACCTAACGGAATAGATTCGTTTATTGATAAAATTGTTAAATCGTGATGTTGAGAAAAAGGTGAATTATGGGTGTATTTGTAAGTATCTAGTTGTTCGGGTGTACAAAAACATCGACGTGCACGTAAACGAAACCGTAACAGTTGGAATTCGATATAAGAATTTCATCAAACTTCCTGTTGGTAGGGTATGAATAAAAAATATATTGATTAACTTAGAATCATATGGAATGTCAAAGTAATCTTCATTTTTTTCCCGGACAATATTGTAAACTCATTTTCAGACAGACGAAAAACACTATCCTTTAAATCTGTTTTAACTGTAAAAGACCTGGACTTCTCCCTACATATAAGGAAGATTCGCTATATTTAGCTTCATAAAGCCTCTTACAAAGTTAAATAAGTGGGGATTTAAAACATTTAATTATACCTTTGAGCATCTTTAAAACATTCTCAAAAGGAAAGGAGGAAATTTCATTAAGAGATACATCTTCGTGTATCTGCAGGAGAGACTGCACACTGAGGTATAGAAGTGTTTACATTATAAAAGTTGACATTGTTGCACAAAATACCTAATAATATCTCTGGCAAATGGTAAAAGTTCATTTACAGGATGTAAAAATATAATCCACATTGAGAAAGTAATCCTTATACGGCATTTAGTAACTGAACATATGATATAAAACACAAATTTATATGGAAAGCAATCACTGGGTTTATTTCACACTACGTTTCAACAAGTTCCTCTTGTCGTTGAGAAAGTACTGATACACATGTAGATTATCAGAAATAATATCTTTTATAGTAATCCTTTAAAGTAAATAATGAAAACATCCTATATTCGATGGCTTTCCATCGCTCCAAGTCATTTAATCCCATAGGTTGTCTTGTAAAATCTCAGAGATGCTAGTTTTTCCGGAAATTGACTGATCTGGCCTTGTGACAATCGACACGTTTATTTTTACTAATTGTTCCAGTTAGGAAATGCAACAACCGTTTGACAACACCCGGGTACACTAAATGCATGTAGTCTAATAGAAATCCTGTCACACAATTAATACCAACGTTAATCAAAGTTTATTTATTTTTTTGATGAACCTTATATGCAAATCTATTAAACATTTCATCACTTCTTAGCGTCGGTGTTTGAACAGTATTAAATACAACCCTCCCCTCCCAACTTCCTTTTATGCTGCATCTTTGACATGAAAAGTAAGAATTATGACCTACGGTATACTTAAGAAATGCCCTTGCAGGAGCATCACATACAAATGTTTTGATAACAACAGCAAAATGTTTATCTGAGAAGAATAAACCATTCTCTTTCAAGGTAAAATACTCTGCCAAAAATTCTTTAAGAAAGTCATTGACATTATTGGGCTTTGTATCTCCAATCCAGAGAGCAATTATAAAAGGCGCCAAGTTAGAGAAGCAAGCAGGAATTGACCAAAATTGCTTTTTGCTTAACTTATACAATAGTATACCATCAACATTTATTAGTAAAGAAATCTCATTTTCACAGTGAAAATCCTGGTTTTCAGATAGTCAATCAATAATACCATTCTCAATTTCAAAGTATTTCAATAGTATCAATTGGCCTTTTTAACAATGGTCTACGACTAGAGAGCTGTCTTTGCCAGACCCTCCTTCCTGCAACACTGACAAGAGGACACCACACCGGAAAATACCGAGAGAATTCATAAGTTAAAAACGTGATTTTTCGTACAACCAGGGGTCATAATCCAGGAATGCGCGAATATGCGCGAATATTGACAGGAACCGAGATCGTTGGGTTGTAAACATACAGTTAAAGTTTTATCAAAATCGGATAAACATTGTGACCTCTAGAGACTAAAGTGTCCACAAGCTTAAAACGTGATTTTTCGTATTATCAGGGGCCATAATTCATGAAGTTATGGTCCGATACATGCCAATATCGAAAGGAACCGGGATCTTTGGGAGATAAAAATATATTTTAAGCTTCGAATAAAACATTTGTGACCTATAGAGTGTCCAGAAACAAGTTGTGGACGGACGTCCGCACAGATGGAGTCCGCACAGATGGACGGACAGGGGCGACAACAATATACGTCTAGAGGGCCCACAACCTTGGGATAAAATACTTTTACACTATTTGCGTACGAGGTCCGGCCATTTTGTCGGGCAGTTTTGGTTCGATTATTATGGAATCGAATTCAACCGCCACTAGGGTCTAATGGTGATATATTTGAATGGTTTTTAAAATCGGGTAAAATTATGACCTCTAGAGAGACCACAAGCTAAAGTCGCGATTTTTCTTACAATCAGGGGCCATAATCCGGGAAGTTACAGTTCGATATGCGAGAATATCGCCAGGACCCGAGATCTTTGGGTTGTAAACATACATTTTAGGTTTCATCAAAATCAGATAAAATTTGTGATTTTTCGTACAACCAGGGGGATTAATTCATGAAGTTAAGGTCCAATATAATCTAATATCGAAAGGAACCGAGATATTTGGGAGATAAACCTATATTTTACGTTTCGTCAAAATCGGATAGAAAACCGTGACCTGTAGAGTGTCCACATACAAATTGTGGGCGGGCGGGCAGGGGCGACGACAATATACAGGCAAAACAAGAATTAGGCGCCAACTATATGGCGATAGGTGTTGCTCTGGTGTCCAACACAATACTAGACCACTGGGTGGGGTATATTGCTATGTTGTTTGTTTACGGATACAGCACAGACAAACCAT